TACCACTGAGCTACATCCTCAACCCTTTTTTAAATTTTAAAATTTCGAGAACAGAACCTTGCTAAATTGCTGATGCTGATCTAGAATTTGTGATGCTCCTGCCTCAGCCACCTGAATAGTTGGAATTACAGGCAGGCGTGTGCCACCCTGCTCCATTTAATTCTCTCTATCTTTTGATTTTCTTTCTTAATTTTTTCTTTTAATTTTTGTTATTCACCTTAGAAGGGTTTTTTGATCCTTTTCTTTTAGCTCTCACATTTAGTATTTGGTCATTGTTAAAACTAATTTGATTAATACAGATTCTGTTAAGTTAAAATGCATATTATAAACTCTAGAGCATCTACCAAAAGAGAAAAGACAGAATAGCTAATAGGAGGAGATAAAATAGAATTAAAACTTACTCAATTAATCCAAAGGAGGGTGGGAACAAATTTTAAAAGGAACAAAGAACAAGACAGAAGCAAATAGAAAGCTTTCTGTCATGTTCTCATAAGACCTTTTTAGGGGCTGGGGATGTGGCTCAAGTGGTAGCGCGCTCGCCTGGCATGCGTGTGGCCCGGGTTCGATCCTTAGCACCACATACAAACAAAGATGTTGTGTCTGCCAAAAAATAAAACTAAAATATAAATAAATTTTTTTAAAAAAGACCTTTTTAATTCTCCAACTTTCATTTTTGTTTTTTCCTCTTAGAAACTTAATATTATTTATGGATTTGGAAGTTTTCTGCAAAAGGATACAAATTAGAATTGTCATGAGTATTTAAATTTTTAAACAATTAAAACAACAAAAAATTATTTTTTGTAGCAGGGATTAATCCTGGGAGTACTTTACTACTGAGTCATATCCCAGCCCTTTTTAAATTTTTATTTAGAGACAGGTCTCACTAAGTTGCTTAGGGCTTCACTAAGTTGCTGAGGCTGGCTTTGAACATGTGATCCTCCTGCCTCAGCCTCCTGAGCTGCTGGGATTACATGCATGTGCCACCCACCATGTCTGGCTAAACAGTTTTATTGAGGCATATTTTACTAATGAAATCCACCCATTTCAAGTGTACAATTCAGTAATTTTTAGTGACTTTACCCAGTGGTACAACTATTACCGTAATAGAATGTTAATTTTTTTCTTTTTTTCTGATTATTTCTGTTATGAATTCAACTGTCAGTTGTTTTATTTGTCCATCTCCACCCCCACCCTTTTTCTTTAAATGTGAGACCCTTAGTTGTTCATTAATACTTATGAGTGGAGAATTGAATTGCTTAATATAGATATTTGGCTTGGGTTTCCCCAAAATGTAAAGTTTCAAGGATTTTGTGTTTTGTTTTAGCCGGTATCAGGACTAGATCCAGGAGGGCTCCACCTCTGAACCACATCTTTAGCTGCCCTTATTTTTTTTTTTTTTTTTTTGAAAGAGAGTCTAGTTCAATTGCCCAGACTGGCCCCAAAATTGCAAACCTCCTGTCTCAGCCTACTGTGTAGCAGGAATCCAGGTGTGCATCACTGCACCAGCTACCCACATTATTTTAGGACTATCATGTATATTGATGTCTACAGAAAAGAAGAAAATTCAGTTATGCATTCATAAAGTACATCACTGTATTTGAATAGTGGTGTTGACCTGAGGTTTGTAGTACCTAAGAAATGTATGTCACCTGGAAGACTTTACTTTTACTCTCTATAGGTTGAAAAGAGGCAGAAGAGGTATCTCCCCTGCAGTATCTTGAGTAAGGAAGATTTATCTGGGAACACAAATGTCCATTCTAGGAGCCTGGGCTTTCCCTAAGAGACTTGAGTTTTCTTAGAGGACAGTCCTCTAGTTTCAAGTTGCAGGTAACACCATGCCATATGTAAATAAGTCTTTTATTTAGTCACCCTGATTTCTGCCTCGCTATCCATTCCCCAATCTCAGTTTTTAGAGTCTCTTGTAGCCATACGAAACAAATAGCTTCTGCCTCTACCATACCTATCTCCTGTGTCTCTTCTGGGCTGCTCCTCTAGTTCTTAGAATGAAAGCCTTTAAACTCACTTTAGTATATAGGCTTATTCAGTAAATATATGTTCAGCTGTTTATCTTATTAAATATTGTACATGTCCAGGCTAGGCGCTGTGGCACACAACTGAAAATCCCAGCTACTCTGAAGGCTGAGACAGGAGGATTGCAAGTTGGAGGCCAGCCTGGGCAACCTAGCAAGACCCTGTCTCAAAAGAAAATGTTAAGGGCTGGGGATGTGGCTCAGAGGTGGAGCACTTGATTGTGTGAGGCATTGAGTTCTATCCTCAGCATCATATTTTTTAAAAAAAAGTAAAAATAAAGGTATCGTGTCTACCTACAACTAAAAACAAATAAATAAATATTAAAAATATAAACTTTAAAAAAAAAAAGAAAATGTTAAAAGGGTTGGGAATGTAGCCCAGTAATAGAGCACCTCTGGCTTATTCCCCAGTGGGGGTGAGGAGAATAATCCAAGGAAAGGGTTTTCTTACTTTACCTTTCCTATTTTATATTCGCATTTCCGCTTTATGTGCCATGTCTGTATGCCCTTCTCATTTCTCATATAGCTGAAAAAACAGCTACCACTGCCCATACAGTCTCCATATCCATATGCTCAATGGAATCTAACTGCAATCCATCCCAATTTCTGCATTACCAAAAGAGCAAATCTCATTGCCCAAATTTGGCCTGTATCTGGCTCAAACAGTCTGAGCAGACAGACTGATAATGATCCTTTGTAAGATCAGTGGTCAGTTAGTACTATAACAAAAGATTCCTATTAATTTCAAGCTGTTCTCCAGTAATGAAATCACTACAGACTTTGCCATAAGACAAAAGGAAAGTACATGCAAATAGTAACAGAGATGCCCTGCTTTCTACTGGAAAAAAAAAAAAAATTGTGTGTGAGGTAATGGGGATCAAACCCAGGCCCTTGCACATGCGTGATAGGCAAGTGCTCTATCACTGGGCTACATCCACAGTACTTGTTTTTTAATTTTGAGATATGATCCCTATAACCTGCCCAGGTTAGTCTTACCCACAGTCCTCTTGCCTTAGCCTCCCCAAGTTCTGGGATTCTAGGAATGCACCACCATGGCCTTCTACTGAAGAAATTCTTAAATGTTTTCATTTCCACCCCAAATTTTTTTTAAATATAAGAAAATAGGATAGTGCTGAGTATGCACTGTGAAGCAGAGTTATGATTATGAGATTCAAAAGTAACTGTTGGCACAAAATCATCATTGAACCAGCCTTAAGTGTATCCATGTTCTGCTCAACAGTTTATTCACAATAGAAAACTATTAATGTTCCCTCTTTTTAAATAAAGAAGCTCAGAATTGGGGTTTTCTGATGCTTGATAACGCAGCCACCTCAAGTTAGACCTTGAGCTTTTATAGTACAATATTTTAGTATAATAACAGCCCAGAAGCATTCTGCCTCTGAGCTACATCCCCAGCCCTTTTCTAGATTGTCTCTATTTTGAGCAGAGTCTCATTAAGTTGCTGAGAATGACCTCAGACTTGGGACCTTCCTACTTCAGCCTCCTGAGTAGCTCGGATTACAGTCACGCGTGCCAACGTGCCTGGCCCATGATGATCTTAAAAAGAAAAGTAAATCAGTTTGGAAAGATGAAAAATTCCTGAAGATGAATTATAGTGATGATGGCACAACAATGCAAATGTACTTCATGCCACTGACTTATATAATTAAAATGATAAATTTCTTATGTATATATCTTACCACAGTAAGATAAAAGAGATGGCATATAGGGGGGAAAAAAAACACTAAATAAGAGAAAGACAAACAGAAAACTATGTTTGTTTTTTCTGGATTGGCTTCACCTCCCAGTATCAAAATTTTAATAAACAAGATCCTATGATGTACTACAAGGTAAAAAAAAATAAAACAAAAACGAAACAAAAAAAAAAACAATAGAATATAACAACAACAAAAACTATTTTATTGATACGTCAACAGCACAGCCAAGCAGAACTATACCTAAAGACTTTATCCCCTATTCCACCCCCAATATTGAAGATCAAACCCAGGGGCACTTTACCCTTAAGCCACATCCCAGCCCTTTTAGTTTTTATTTTGAATACTGAGACAGTTATCACGAGGTATCGATTAGGGACTTGCTGAGTTGCCAAGACTGGCCTGGAACTTTCAATCCTCTGCCTCAGAGTCTCAAATCACTGGAATTTTAGGAATGTGTCACTATACCTGTCTAATCATTGTATTTTAAGATCATCATATGTTGATGTTTGCACAAAATTTAATTCTGTATTATAAAGTTGTGGTATTGACCTAGGTAAAGAATAATTACAATAAATTTTGTTTATATTGTATTGAATATTTTAATATCCTAACAAAGTAAACTTACAATTGTTTTGTAGCTTTTAAACATACTGGTTAGTCAATTACAAATTGAATGTCAAGTTCTAAATGACTTTTTCTGCCAAATAATTTACTGACAAATATTTTAAGAACTGAAAACCTCTTGAAGAGAATTTCTTTTTTTCTTTTTAAATAGGTTCCAATTTATTGTGCCTAAGGAGTGGAATAGCAAATACAGACCAGTGTGCATTCATCTTGCTGGAACCGGAGATCATGTAAGACCTCTCTGTGACATTTTAATCCCTAGATACTTTGTTGACATAGTCTCCTTAGCAGAGGGGCCGCTGGGTTCTCAAAGCATGTCCTTTTCTCTTTCCTAGCATTACTGGAGGCGGCGAACACTGATGGCCCGTCCCATGATTAAAGAAGCCCGGATGGCTTCTTTATTGTTAGAAAACCCGTATTATATCCTTCTGTGATGCCTGAGAAGTATTTTCTCTATCTGTATATTTAGTTATCCAAAGGAATGATTAATAGTAACCAGCTTTTCCAAACCAGTTAAATTCAGTCCAGAAAATGTGTCAGCAAAAATGAAAAGAAGTAAAAGATTATTCCATGCATTTAAAAAACTAATAGAAGGATGTACTTCTATTTTATAATAAAAATAATTAAATTATACTTCTAGTTTTTTATACTTATGCTGTATTTAAAATTAAGTTGACTGCTATTAAGAAAACACTCATGTTTTAAATGCATTTATAGTATCAGTTGAGGTTTAGAACAGTTCTTAACTTAATTTTCAAGATGACGTCAGAAGAAGAAATGAAACTGATGCACAGATATAAAGAAATGTTCAACTACTGGTAATAAAAGAAATACAAAGTTAAAGCAATAATTACCAATGATTTGAAAAAATAAAACCTAGTACTGGGGAGGCTATGTGAAATGGGCATTCTGATTACTAATGACTGTGAACATGAGTTCAGCTCTTTAGGAAAGCATTTTCCCCATATTTCTTAAGAGCTTTAAAATGGCCAAGCATCTTGGCGCACACCTGTAACCCCCATTGGCTCAAAAGGCTGAGGCGGGACGATCGCAAATTCAAAGCCAGCCTCAGCAATGGTGAGGTGCTAAGCAACTCAGTGAGACCCTGTCGCTAAATAAAATACAAAATAGGGCTGGGGATGCAGCTCAGTGGTCAAGTGCCCCTGATTTCAATCCCTGGTAGCCCCTTCCCTTGTCCCCCACCCCCCACAAAAACAGAACCTTAAAAAGTCTACATCTGGGCTGAGGGTGACTCAGTGGTAGAGCCCTTGCCTAGCATGCCTGAGGCCCTGGTTCAGACCCCAGCACCACAAAAAGAAAAAAGAAAATTTCATGTCCCTTGTTGGGAGTGATTTTGATTCATAGAATTTGTTGCTTAGAATTTTGATTTTAAGAATAAAATACTAGGAAAAAAAAGAAAAAAGATATTTACATGGGTTTATTTATAATAGTAGAAATAAATGCACAGTAGAGAGATGATTGAGCAGCTGGTTCATAACATTGATATTTTATATAATTGATTGTGTTGTTTTTATTGCTTTATCACTATCTTTGTGACCTTGTACCTATTAACGTTTTAGTACCTCACTTTCCTCATTGATAAAAGGGAATACATTATTAGGTTATTAAATACTTAACACTGTCTAGAATCGTAATTGGCAAATAATAAGCATTCAGTGAGTTTTAACTGTTATATTTTAAACTTATAATAATGTGTGAAAAGTATTCATGAAATAAAAGTAAGATATAAAACTACAATTCTCAGTAGTAAAGCTTGTGCTTAGCATGCACAGGCCCTGGGTTCAATCCCTAGCACCAAAATCAAATCAAAACAAAACAAAACCATGTAGCATCATCTGGAAATGCACCCCCACTAACAAAAAAAAAAAAAAAAAGCACCTAAAAACAGAAAATCCAAATTAAAAATTTGAGGGGACTGGAATTGTTGCTCAGTGCCTAGTATGCATGAGGCACTGGATTCAATTCTCAGCACCACCTACAAATAAATAAAATAAAGGTCCATCAACAACTAAAAAATATTTTTAAAATAAATAAAAAATTGTATGAGGGCAAATATTAGAACGAAATCCACAAAAGTACTGGGCTGGCTATAGATAAAGTTAGTTTTCTTCTAAACACATTCTTCATTTCCTGGATTTCTGTAGGAAACTTAATTTCTTAAATTAAAAAAAAACTCACTAAATATTATTTTAAATTTATTAAAGATTGTACAACTCTATGAGTATACCAAAAACATTAATTTATATGTTTTAAATAGATATATGTTATGTGATTGTATCTCAGTAAAATTGTATAAATTAAAAACAAAAGGCCAAGCCCAGTGTCACACACCTATAATCCCAGGTACACAGGCAGTTGAAGCAGAAGGATTTTGAATTCAAGGTTAGCCTCAGCAACTTAGCATGACCTGTTTCAAATAAAAAAATAAAAAGGACTGAGATTGAGCATCCATGGGTGTTCCCAGTACCACAAAAAAAAAATTAAGAGAACTAAGCTGAAAAACTTGAGAACTTCTAAATATCCTATTGAGATAACTAGAGAGCAGTTATTTTGGTTTAATTAAATTGTGTTCAAACTTTATTATTTTGCTATAAGTTTGTATGTTTTACGGCAAAAGTATATCTAATTATTTCAAAACTTTCTCTTTGACCCACATTCTTAAATGGCTGCAGGAAACCCAAGGACCAAGTGTAAGTATGAACCACCTTTATCTTTGAAGTACTAATACCTAATTTTCAGTAATTTAAAAAATGTTGGTAGCCTTCAGTTGACTATTTACAAGTTTAATATCCATGTGTTATTGGGGGAGGGGTTATTATGACTGTAATAGGTGTGTTTACTTTAATTCTTATTTAAGACTTTTGCATTTTAATGTATGATAAGGAGGTCTAATAAGACATTTTAATAGATTGAATTCAGATATATTATATTTCTGATTGGAACTATACTTTTTTTTGTTTTTTGGGCACAAGGAATTGAACCTAAGGGTGCTTTACCACTGAACTACATTCCCAGTACTTATTTTGCAACAGGGTCTCCATAAGTTGCTTAGGGCCTGGTCAAATTGCTGAGGTTGGCCTTGAACTTGCAATCATCCTGCCTCAAACTCTAGAATCACTGGGATTACAAGCATGCGCCACACACCTAGCAATACTACGTTTTATTCACAATGCATCTTACAGAAAATGTGAAGATATGGGCTGAGGCTGTAACTCATTGGCAGAGCGCTTGCCTAGCTTATATAAGGCCCTGGGTTCAATCCTTAGTACCACATAAAAATAAACAAAATAAAAGCATGCTGTCCATTTACAACTATAAAAAAAAATTTTTAAAAGAAAGAAAATACGAAGATAAACTATTCTCTTTCTGGTCTTTTAAAATAATGAACTTTGATGGCAGTGTTTTTTTTCATTTCTGTAATCTCTGTTGTGTTTGGTTCATTCAATAAAAATTTGACCCTATACATGAGAAATATAGCAACTGTTATTTAGAAAAGCATCTATTATTAAAAAAGGTCCTCTTAGGCCTGGGGATGTGGCAGTGGTAGAATACTTGCCTAACATGCTATGCCTGGGTTCCATCCCAGCATATAAAAAAGAAGTGGAAAGGAATAAGTCCTCTCATAGAGCTCATATTCCAGAACTGTAGATAGACGCGAATAATTAGCCAGTCATGAATGCTATTTGGGAGGCCGAAGCAGGAGAATATCAAGTTCAAGTTCAGCCTCAGCAACTTAGTAAGATCTTGTTTCAAAATAAGAAAATAAAAAGGGTTGGGGATCCAGCTCTGGTAGAAGCACCCCTGGGTTCAATCCCCAGTATCACACACACCAAAAAACAAAGAAACAAGCAAAAAATATCTAGAAGAGTCTACTAAAGTGTAGTGAGAGGCAGCCAGGGTTTAAAAGAAGGACTCTTGAGTCATAACATACATAACTTGAATTTGTCACTTGCCATTTATTAATTGTCTGACCTTGGTCTCTATTTTTATTGTGTATGTATTTATTTACTTTTGAGTACTGGAGATTGATTTCAGGGATGTTTTTTAAGAGAGAGAGAATTTTTTTTTAATATTTATTTTTTTAGTTTTCGGCAGACACAACATCTTTGTATAGAATGCTGAGGATCGAACCCAGGCCTCACGCATGCCAGGCGAGCGCGCTACCGCTTGAGCCACATCCCCAACCCCAGCCCTTTTTATTTTGACACAGTATCTCACTGGGTTTCTCACTATCTTAACTGCTACAACCCCTTGAATATCTGGAATTGTTGGTGTGTGCCACCATGCCCAACTCACCTTGGCCTTTTTAAGTACCAGTTATCTCATTTATAAAATGGGAACATTAACCAGGCCTTTCTCAAAATAAAAAAGGCCTGGGGGTATAGCTCAGTGTTCAAGCTACAGAGGCTGAGACAGGAGGATGGCAAGCTCAGGGCCAGCCTGGGCAACTTAGTGGAACTCTGTCTCAAAATAAGAAAATTAAAAGGACTGGAATATAGCTCAGTGGTAGAGTGCCCCCGCGTTCAATCCCCAGGCCTGCAAAATAAATAGGTAGGTACTGAGTGAGCTAGTTGAAATTCAGTAAAGGTTATATTTGTAATTAATGTATAGAACAATGTTAGCAGCACTCTCATTTTGTCAGTTTTTTCCATTGCTTTTCTTTGTTGTCTAGTCTTTTAAGGGAAGAACATGAAAACTGGGTGCTAATGAAAATCTGCATATATTAAAATATAAATGTATAAAATAAATCATTTTCTACTTTTTTTTGTGAGACTAGAAGGTCCAGCTTAAAAAATGTATCTGACCTTTTTGTGATGGGAGGAGCTCTTGTTTTAGAATCTGCAGCTCTCTTGCACTGGCTAGAGAGAGAAGGTTATGGACCTCTCGGAATGACCGGAATATCCATGGGAGGACACGTAAGCCTCTTCCTTTCAACTTACATTTTATTGTGATTATGCTTATGGGAGTTAGGGAATCAGGTTATTTTTAAAATTCACTTTAGGGATAGAATTATTTTTAGTTTTGGAGAAAAAACATCAAATTTCTAAACCTTCATTCCAATTCTGATGTGACAATGTAATTTTTTATATGATTAATATAGACTTTTTTGGTACTACTCCATAGAAATAGCTCTGACATTGGATTTAATATTTTATCCAGAGTTTATTATAAAATTTAAATTTACATTTGCCAAGTGTGAATGTCCCATTTTGCTATTAAACTGGTCAAGATAGCTAAACCATCTCCATCCCTGGTTCCACCAACATATTTGACCCTTATCTGTCTTTTAGCGGGTCCTGAAACAGACTCCTTATTGGTTTCTTCCTGTATCTAGTCTTTTCTCTCATGAGTCTTGCTTATAACAAATATCCTCTACACCATAACTAACTCACTCTACACCAGTCTGCCCTGCTAAGAACCTGCCAGAAGCTTGCTTTAACAGTGAGTTCTCATTGTCCCCCATGCTAACACTCTTTAGTGCCCCTCCGTGCCCTCACCTAGCCCAGCAACAGCTTACTTCCAGTCTCACCCACAGACTGGGCTTCATCTCTCATTAGTACTTTTCCTGAACTATGATGATTTGTCTGGTTTAGCATTCTGTTTTTTCTATAAAGCAGTTGGTTCACTGAGGGCCAAGAATGTCTCAAGTATAGGATGTTTTCTGAAGGTCATTTTAATTATAAAATTAAGTTTAAAAACTCAAAATTCAAAACAATTACCAAGTCAGTCATGAGAGCACACACCTGTAATCCCAGTGATTTAGGAGGCTGAGGCAGGAGGATTACAAATTCATCAATAACTTAGTGAGAATATATCTCAAAATATTTAAAGATAATAAGAATTAAAACTACCAGATAGGCTGGGCATGTGGCTCAAGCAGTAATGCGCTTGCCTAGCATGCACGGGGCGCTGGGTTCGATCCTCAGCACCACATACAAATAAAATAAAGATGTTGTGTCCACCGAAAACTGAAAAATAATTATTAAAAAATTCTCTCTCTCCCTCTCTCTCTCTCTCCCCTCTCTCTCTTAAAAAAAAACTACCAGATAGTGAAACTGAGGGTAGAAAAGGATTCATATTCCTACCTACTAGTGTTTCCAAGTTAGCTTCCTTGAATCGCTTCTTTGACAATGTCACTCCTTCACTCAGACCTCTTTATTAATTCCCTGTACAACAAAGGGACCACTAATCTGATCCTAATTAATCTTTCCAGCCCTGCCAGTCTCATTCACGCTTTTGGCCAGTAAGCTATTGACCAGCCAATGAGCTATTCCCTTACCAAACCCTGTGCTTCCGTGTAATCTTGGCTTTGAACATATTAACTCCCTTATGCTAGCCAAAACCCCATCTCGTTACCCTGAAAGACTCTGCCATTTCTTGAAGCCTTCTATGATTCCTCCAACCAAAAGGCACATTTCCCTTCCCTAAACACACACATTCCATCATGTCATGCTCCTGTGTAATCTGCTCTATAGTTCCCCCATGCTTGGTGTCCCCAGTCAGCCTTGAGGTCTGAGGCTGCCTGGTGGACACTGCAGCACTGAGCAAGTCACACCAGTCGTGAGTGAACTCAGCCTGCCACCCTGCCTCCACCTCTCAGCACCTTTGCTCAGTGCTCACTCAGTAGAAAGCAGGTCTCAGCAAAGCATCTCCAGGTTCTTAAAATTTTCTTTTATACTTTATTGCTTTCTTCTTTTTTAATATTTATTTATTGTAGTTAGGCACAATATCTTTATTTTATTTATTTATTTTTATATGGTGCTGAGGGTTGAACCCAGGGTCGTGCTCGTGTGTGGCACAGTTCTACCACTGTGCCACAACCCCAGCCCTTGTACTTCATTGCTTTCTGAGGAGGAAATTATGGTTGAATTTATGATTTGGGGAGTTTAGCAAGGTCACTAGACATGCTCATGGGTGTTTATGTTTATGTCTGATCTCAACTTACCTCAGAAAGTACTTCTTAGTATTGAATTTTTTTTAATTATTTATTTAGTTAGTTAATTTTTCTCGGCAGACACAACATCTTTATTTGTATGTGGTGCTTGAGCCACATCCCCAGCCCCCAGTATTGAATATTTTTAATTTTAATGAATAGGAACTTTAAACAGAAGCTCTCTAAACTTACTGCTAATATGTTACAGATGGCCTCCTTAGCAGTATCCAACTGGCCTAAGCCCATGCCACTGATTCCATGTCTGTCTTGGTCCACAGCATCTGGGGTCTTCACTACGGTAATTTAATGGCACTTAATATTTAGATAGCTATATATGTAATTAAAGATAATTGGGTTTGGGGTTCCCAAGATCACCCCCAGGTTTGGTGATTTCACTAGAAGGAATAACAAGACTCAACATTTATTTGTACTTGTGACTAAGACTTAGTGGAAGGATACAACATAAAATTAACAGAAGGAAAAAGCACAAGGCACAGGCCTGCACACGCTCCCTCACCCAGTGAAAACTCAATTGTGCTTAGTTCCTCCAGTGAAAAGTGTGACAAAGCACGCAGAGTGCTGCCCAACTGAGCCTGGCACCAGGGTTTTTAACCCATTCAGCAAGTCAGGCATCCTCTGCCTAGCAAGAACCAAAATTGCAGAAGGGAAGCAGTGTTAAAGAGAAACTACATTGCCTGTGTAAACAGCCTGGGCACAATGATCCACTCTTATAATTTAGGGGCAGTCATATCAAGGTAATGGAGTGCTTATTCCTCAAGTTCCAGACTCAAGAAGGCCCAGCCTTGCATGCAGGCCTCCATAAGGACAGGCAATCTCAAGACTGCTGTTTTCACTCTTTTACACAGTAATTAATAAAAATAAAGGTATTGGGCAAAATATGGTGTCACTTGATCTTAATTTAGTTTGTTATTTTAGGGTGTATTGAGTAAATCAATTAATTGGAGGGAGCTGGAAAAGCAATATTATACACAGACAGTTTATGAAGAAGAAATTATTCATATGCTTGAATACTGTGGAGTAAGTATTTTAATTTCAACATAACATTGGGGGGAAAGTCAATTATATATTTAATGATTCCATTTTTTTGTTGTTGGTTCCAAGGATTGACTAGGAATGCTTTACGGTTGAGCTACATCCCCAGTCCTTTTTATTTTGTGAAGCAGGATCTTGATAAGTTGCTAAGGGCCTTGCTTAATTGTTGAGCTGGCCTTGAACTTGTGATCCTTCTACTTCAGCCTTCCAAGTCATTGGGATTAGTGATTCAATTTTTTTTTTTTTTTTTTTTTTTTTTTTTTTTTTTGTGGTGCTGGGTCTTGTGCATGTGAGGCAAGCAGTGTACCAACTGAGCTATATCCCCAGCCCATAGTGATACAATTTTTAAACAGTATAGTCAATTTTTAAAGATATACATACTATCTTAATTTTTTTTTTCCATTTTTAACCTTGGGGACTCAGGAAGCTGAAGCAAGAGGATCAAAAGTTTGAGGCCTGCCTGGCCAACATAGCAAGATCCTGTCTTAAAGTAAAATGAAAGAACAAAATCTACCAAATTCTGCTATGTCCATTTGCAACTATACCACAGTCAGTCCCACTTGTATATAATTATAATGCACTAATTAAAATAATAATAGAAGGAGGGCTGGGGATGTGGCTCAAGCGGTAGCGCGCTCGTCTGGCATGCGTGCGGCCAGGGTTCGATCCTCAGCACCACATACAAACAAAGATGTTGTGTCCTCTGAAAACTAAAAAATAAAAGTTAAAAATTCTCTTAAAAAAAAAAAATAATAATAATAGAAGAAACATCAGAATAGTTGGATCAGGGGAAAGGAGAAAAAGGAAAAGTGAAGGTAAATGGAGAATGAGATTAATCAAATTGTATGCACATACAAATATGCATATGAATCTCATATAATTATAATGCATCAATAAAAAAATAAATAAAATTAAAATGGCCCAGGGTGTAATTCAGTGGTGTAGCACTTAACTAGCATGCACAAGGCCCTGGGATTAGTCCCCAGTATCACAAAAAATTATTCATTTTGAAAGAAAATTATGCAAGCATATGTATTCTTTATTACACTTATTAAAATGTAGCTGTGAATGTGGCTCAGTAGTAGAATATTGTCCTAGCATTCATGAAGTCCTGGGTTCAATCAAGGGTACAATAACTTAACTATCCAATTGGAAATCCTTTTCATGTATCCTAAACACAGGCCTTCTTTCCCCAACTCTTAGTAATCATTATCCTGACTTTTATAATAACTGCTTCCTTTTATGTTTAAATAATTTTAATCAGGGCTGGGGATGTGGCTCAAACGGTAGCGCGCTCGCCTGGCGTGCGTGCGGCCCGGGTTCGATCCTCAGCACCACATACCAACAAAGATGTTGTGTC